GACCTGAATACAAATAAAAACCCACCATAGCAAAATTTATCAAAGCAGTCTTGGAAGGAGACTTACAGCACTAAACACCTATAATAGGGAAGAAGAATAGTCTCAAATTAGGGACCTCAGTTTCCACTTTTAGAAACAAAAAAAAAACAAAACAAATTAAACCCAACGCAAGCAGAAGAAAGGAAATAATAATAGAGCAGAAATCAACTAACTAGAAACAACTAGAAAACAACCAACACAACCAAAGGCTAGTTCTTTTTTTATAAAATATATTTTTGCTGATTTCAGAAAGGAAGCGAGAGGGAGAGAGAGAAACATCAATGATGAGAGAGAATCATTGATTGCACACCACACTGGGGTTGGAGCCCCCAACCTGGGTATGTGCCATAACCTCCTGCTTCATAGGTCGATGTTCAACTACTGAGCCACGCTGGCTGGGCAACAATGGCTTTTTAAATTACAAAGTGTTTACAAATGAGCAGAGTCACCCCTGACTGGTCTCCCTCAGCTCTGGCTCGGCTGTGAGGCGAGGTCTTGTCTACACAGCCCACCGTGTGCCTTACCGTCTTGTGTATCAGGTAGAAGTCCTTCTTGTGGGCGCAGAACGCCTTCTTAAAGAGCCTCTTCTCCATGGGAGTCCAGATGTCTGAACCTACCGGGAGACAGTCGAGGAGGGAAGGACACGTCTCCTCTGGGAACAGCCATGGCTGAAACGCTGACCGCCCGCCCTCCTCAAATTCCCATCACGGACACCGGTTATGTGCCACACATTCTGCTAAGCCCCTTTTCAGCTTTACCTCATACAATCCTCACAAAACCCTTAGCAGGGAGGGACCGCTGCTATCCCCATTTTACAGATGCAGCAACTGAGCCTTCCATTGGGTTAAGAGGCTTGCCAAGGGTAGGTGGCGACCCCAGACCGCCTGACTTCACGGCTGGTGTGCTCAACCCGACCTGAGCCCGCCTCCGCCTCTCCTCTCCGTGGCCAGAAGCATCCCCTTCCTGGCTGGGCGGAGCTTAGGAGGGAGCCACTGGCCAGGGGTAGGTAGGGTCCACCTAGAACAGTGGTTCTCAACCTTCTGGCCCTTTAAATGCAGTTCCTCATGTTGTGACCCAACTATAACATTATTTTCGTTGCTACTTCATAACTGTAATGTTGCTACTGTAATGAATCGTCATGTAAATATCTGATATGCAGGATGGTCTTAGGCAACTCCTGTGAAAAGGTTGTTCGAGCACCAAAGGGGTCGTGACCCACAGGTTGAGAACCGCTGACCTAGAAGCACACAGTGCCCACTAAGTCGCCCTGGAGAGGGCAGGCCCTTCTGGAAAGGAAGGCAGAGCCACCAAGAGCACAAGCAGAGCTTGCCATCGAAGCTGATGGGCTCGGGGGTCTCAGCCAGGCGAAACCACGCTGGCCCCTCGCTCCAGTCACCTGTGTAGCGATAGTCGGTGAGTGGGTGAGTCTGCGGCTTCTGGGGGCCTCTGAGTAAGAGGGTCTCCAGGGCAACCTGGAACAAGAGGAGTGGCCACTTACTCACTGTCTCATTCATTCAAGACGACTCCAGCTTCCCCACCCCAAGCGTGGATGGTCCTCGGACTGCCGCCACCTGGGAGCCGTCTGTGGGCACGTCGACTGGACCCTGAGCCGCTGTTGGGGGCGGCCGACACTTTTTTCATAGCAAGATTTTCTTATGGAGGAAACAGTGCGCGGATTGATTCTGGTTCAAGCTCCTTGTTTTCTTCAAGGACCAGCATTTTGGGAGCACTGCCCTTGCCCATGGCCCCGCACTATTTGCTTCATTGCACTAATAATTTTTAAAGCGTATTTCCTGTTTTGACTCTGAGCCTCATGAAGAGAGGGATTTTGTCCTGCTCACCAGCACCACCCTGGTCAGGACGGGCTGTGTAATGTGCAGGGCCCAGTGCGAAATGCAAACGTGGGCCCTTCTGTTCAAAAATGAAGTATTTCAAGATGGCGGTGCCAGAGCCTTAAACCAAGCGCGGGCCAGGGAGTGGGCCCCGCCCAGTGCCCCCGTCATCAGCTGGTCAGTGGGAGGCAACAGCCCTGTGATTGCCCTGCTGAGCACCGACTGTGGCCTCTCTGCTGAGAAGCAGCAGGACTGGGGCACTGGCTCCCTAACTTGTTAACTTGATTTTCCTTTCCCACTCCTCGGAGTTGGAATTTTTATTTTATTTTTAATTGATTTCAGAGAGGAAGGAAGAGGGAGAAAGAGTTAGAAACATCAATGATGAGAGAGAATCGTTGATGGGCTGCCTCCTGCACACCCCCCACAGGGGATCGAGCCCACAGCCCGGGCATGTGTCCTTGACCGGAATCGAACCTGGGACCCTTCAGTCCGCAGGTCGACGCTCTATCCACTGAGCCAAACCAGCCAGGGAAAGTTGGACTTTTAATTTCTTTTCTAAACCTCAGGATTGTGAGGAGGGCCTTTGGAGACAGCAGAGGCATTTCAGTTACACCAAAGGATTTCACGCATGGGCTTGCGATAAAAAAGATACAGCTCAATAAATAAACCAGATCCATGCAGGACCTGCGTTGGTCTACTAGGTCCCCCCCGCCCCCCCATTGCCCCTGAGGGCTCAGAGGAACCCTGGGCCCTGCTGTTTCCCTAAATAAATAACTGATTTTCTGCTCATCCCCCCTATGGTGTTCGAGGGCCACACCAATCCCAGGGCCACATGGGGACGGATGAGCAGCCGTCCCTTCCGTGTTCATGGCTGCACCCCCCCCACGCAGAGGGCACACGGCAGCCCCAGCCGCCCTCACCTGAACGTTGCCCTGGGCGTCATGCAGGCAGTGCAGGGCGAGCTCCAGGTTGGTGCCCCCTCCCGGCATGACGCTGGAGCAGGCCACGTTGCAGAGCTCGGTCACTGTTCCCAAAGGGGGCCCCACAGGGTGCGAGGGGGAGATACAGGGAGTCAGCAAGGGCCAGGGAGGAGGCTCTCTGACAGCACGGACAGGGCGGGCCTCACATTTCAGCTTAAAGCAGGTTGAGGGAAGGGAGGGCCAAGGAGGACGGGCGGAAACCCTGCTCCCGGCGCCTGTTTTGGACAGCCTGGCCAGCTACTGAGTGAGAACAGAGGAGGGGGCAGGAGACTGGGGCCTGGGAGAAGCAATACTAGACTGAGGGCTAGTTCTACCCGTCCTCCCCTCCCCCCACCCTCTATCCCAGGGGACCCTGCTTCTTGGTCAAGGTGAGAACTGGGAGGAGAAATGCCTTGGAGATGCGGGGAGGCCTTGGGAAATTGGCCCCAAAGTCCCAGCCACCTCTATCCTGCGTTTCCAGGTTGGTCATCACATCTCCCCACGGCTTCCAGACCAGAGAAGCTAAATGCTCATCGATTCCGGCCAGCAATCTGTCCTGGAGCTCCGGGATCTCAGCCTGAAACCGGCTTCCTATGTTGATGTGTCTGCAATGAGGTCACATATACAGACAGGCGAGGTACACGTGACTCCGATGGGAACTGAAGGTGCAAGGTGTGCCCTGCTCTGTGGACACCCTCCACCATCGCCGCTGTGCTGACCCACATGTGGGCCTTCCAGAAACCTCTCAAGGGATATTTCCTTCCTCCAATTTCTTTTATTGCCAGATTTCCGGCCTCAGGGGTCTCTCTTGGGGTCTAGGACAAGGGACGTACATGCTGCTACCTGACATCAACATCCATGGCCACATCCATTTAACCACTGTGCCAGCACCAATTCTTCCTAGAACCCCAGGGTCTTGGGCATTCTTTCCCGATGGCCCCAACTATGGTATGTCTGGACAAAGGAATATTGAGGGAACGTCCCACAAGGACCCGGAGAAACCCACCTCTCCTCTCCTGGGGAGGCTCTGGAGCTAGGCCTGGTCCCCCCTGGGATGCAGGAGCCCGTGGGAAAAACTGACACTGGAATGAATGCAAGGAGAGTAAAGGCAGCTCCGCTTCGGGAGGCCCCTCGGGTTCTGAGCGAGCCCCAACTCACGGTTCTATGCTGATTTTGGTGTCATCCTTTACCACACAGATGCCGAAAGAAACATCCACTTGATCTAGAAAATACACAACAAAAAGTCTCAAGAAGACAGACGAGAAGCGGTCCACGGAGCCCCTCCGTCTACCTCCCCAGAGTGGCTGAACGCAGGCTCTTGAAGCCTGCAGAGTAGAAAGGTTCTTCAGAAAATTAAGGAGAGAGTTACCATAGGATCCAGCAATCTCGCTCCTGGGTATTTATCCAGAAGTAAAGATACAGGCAACAGTAAGAAATCAGGATCTCAAGAGATACCTGCACGCCCATGTTCACTGCAACACTGTCCATAATAGCCAAAAGGTGTCAACAATCAGATGGCCATTGCTGGGTGAGTGGATAAAGAAAATGTGGTACAGACATGCAACAGGATACAGTGGGGCCTTGACTTACGAGTTTCCCAACTAACGAGTTTTTTGAGATACCAGCTGTCTCTCGGCCGATTTTTTGCATTGAGTTGATAGAGTAATTTGAGTTAACGAGCTCCTTAACGAGCTCGGTCTTGGAACGAATTAAACTCGTAAGTCAAGGCCCCACTGTACTATTTAGCCTTAACAAAGGAAATTCTGTAATATGCCACAACACAGATGAACCTTGAGGACATTAGACTAAGTGACTAAACCTGTCACAGAAAGATAAATACTATATGAGTCCACTTATATGAAGTACCTAAAATAGTCAAATCCACATAATCAAAGAGTGCAAGGGTGGTTTCCGGGGCCTGAGGGAGTGGGACGTGAGTAGTTATTAATCAATGGGCATTGAATTTTTAAGTAAGCAAGATGAGTAAGCTCTAGAGATGTGCTGTACAACATAGTCAAAATACTCTATTGCACACTTAAACGTTTGTTAAAAGGGTAAATTTCATGTTAATTATTCTTATCACAAAAAAATTAACTTTTGGAAAAAAATTACATGGAAGGTGGTTAGAACTTCTGAAAAGTACAGCAAGGAACTCAGCACAATAACAAATAACTGATAAAAATTATATTGAAAATAGTAAGTTAGCCCTGACCGGTTTGGCTCAGTGGATAGAGAGTCAGCCTGCAGACTGGAAGGTCCCAGGTTCGATTCCAGTCAAGGGCATGTACCTTGGTTGCAGGCACATCCCCAGTAGGGAGTGTGCAGGAGGCAGCTGATCGATGTTTCTCTCTCATCGATGTTTCTAACTCTCTCTCCCTCTCCCTCTCCCTTCCTCTCTGTAAAAAAATCAATAAAATATTTTTAAAAAAACAGTAAGTTAAAGTCTCTGGAAGTTGTCTTAAAGGCGTACACACTCAAGAAAACTGACCAAATCTTAGCAAGAACAATGAGAATCTGTGACATCTGAGCCATGGCCCGTGCCCTCGCCCACCGGGCCTCCAGCTCTGTAACAGATTCTACCCGGAGTACTCTAACCCAGGTAGGTGCCAAGGAGAGGGGGCTTACTCTCCCCATAGTTCTATGTTTAAGTAATTAAAGGGAGGTATAATAATAAGGTCTCATCAAATAGAGATTACCACTAAGAGGCAAAAATTACATTTTTTTAAAAAAGAACCAAAATGAGGCCCAATGGATTTGAGCAGATAGGAGAAATGATCAATAAACTAACTTGCTGATAAATCAGTGGAGATTATGGAATCTAAAAAACAGAAAAAAGAAAAACGAAGAGAGCCTCAGAGAAATGTGAGATGTCATTAACTGCACCAACATATGTGTAATGGGAGGACCAGAAAAAAAGAAAGGGTCAAAAATATTTAAAGTATTAGTGGCTGAAAACTTCTCAAATTTGATGAAAAACAAGATACACATTTAAGAAACTCTATAAACTCCAAGTGGGATAAACACAAAGTGCTCTACATCCAAACACATTGTGGGCAAAATGTTGAAAGCCAAAGATAAAGATCTGAAAAGCCAAAAGAGAAAATTCACCTGTTATATACAAGCGCACCAGTAAGATTAACAGCTGACTTCTCATCAGAAACTACAATGGTCAGAAGGCAGTGGGATAGCATATTCGAATTGCTGAAATTAAAAAACTGTCAACCAAGAATCTCATACTCAGCAAATTACCTTTCAAAATGAATGTGAAATAAAGACATTATAACATAAATAAAAATTGAGAAAATCTATTGCTAGCAGCTCTTTAGTATAAGAAATATTAAAGGTGGATTATGGTGAAGGGATTAAATAAAGAAAAGAAAGACTCACGGATACAGACAACAGTATGGTGCATGCCAGAGGGAATGGGTGGAGGAGGCAGAGGAGGGTAAAGGAGGGATACATGGTGATGGAAGGAGACTTGGGGTGGTGAACACAATACAATATACAGATGATGTATTTTAGAAGTGTGTATCTGAAACCTATATAATTTTATTAACCAATGTCACCCCAATAGATTCAATGAAAAGAAGTGGAATATCATTCAGCCATTAAAAAGGAAGAACTGATACATACTGCAACATGGGTGAAACCTGCAAACATTATGCAAAGTGAAAGAAGGCAATCACAAAGGACTAAATATTATATGATTCCACTTACATGAAATATTCAGATTAGCCAAGTCTACAGAGGCAGAAGGAGATTAGTGCTTACCTAGGGCTCGGGTGGAGGGCAGGGGAAAGAGAGGCTGCTATTGACTGTGGGGCCTCTTTTGGGGGTTGTAACATTGTCTGGAAATTGATAACAGTAATGGTTGCACAGCTCTGTGAATATACTAAAAACCATTGCATTATTTATACTTTAAAGAGGTGAACTGTATGGCATGTGAACTATATCTCCATAATGAAAATAAATACTAAAGAAAGTTCTTCAGACTGAAAGGAAGTGGTATCAGATAGAAATTTGAACTTAAAAAAAAGAGCATTGGTAAAGGTAATTACATAGGTAATTACAAAAGCCAGTATTTTTCTCTTTTAAAAAGAGACTTAAAAAGCCCTTGCATAAAACAGTATGCAGTGTAAGCCTGTAACACACGGAAATGTAAAATATGTGACAATAACGGCACCACGGAGCGGAGCTGCCCTGGAGTAAAGAAGTAACACCCAGATAGTAGCGTTGAATCCACGGGAATAAATGGAGAGATCAGAGGTGGTAAATAAAGTTACTATAACAAACTCTATAAATGGCATTTGCTTTCTTTCCTTTATTCTCTCTGTTTTAAAAATGATATAAAGTTATATAAAGTAATAATCATGACAATGCCTCGTTGGTTATGTAATATAACAATAATAATAAAAGTGTTACAGAAACAGAGATAGAAAGAGCAGCGTTGCTATGTTCTGTTCTTAATAAGTTGTGGCACATCTGCGAAGGTTCTCATATTTCATATGTATGTTGTAGGTCCTAGAGCAACTACTAAGAAATGACTAAGAAAAAGTAACACTAGAAAATACTCAACACAAAGAAAGCAGGAAAGGAAAAACAAATGGAGACAAATACATGAGACTCACAGAAAAGAAAAAAAATGGCAGCTGTAAATCCAACCACATTAATATAACATTAAATGAGAGTGGATTAAACAAACCAATCAAAAGGCAGTTTGTCAGACTGGCTTAGAAAATGTGTGCTCCGACCAATGCTCTCTACAGGAGGCATGCTTTATGTTCAAAGACACAAACAGGTTAAAAATAAAGGAACAGAAAAATACATGCCAAGCAAACGACAACCATAAAAGAGGCTATACTGTCAGAGAAATATTACTAGAGGTAATACAATTATAGTATGAATAACTGATATCACAATCATATCATAATGATACAAGGTTGGCCAAGCCATCAGGAAGACATGATGACTATTATAAACATGTATGCACCTAAAAACATCATCTAAAAATACAGAAAGCAAAACTTGAAAGAACTGAAGGATGAAATATACAACTTAAAAATAATGGTGGGAGATTTCAATACTTTCAATAATCGATAGGACAACTAAGTAGATCAACAAGGAAGAACACTATAAACTAACTAGATATGACAGATATCTACAGAGAATTCCACCAAACATCAGAACATACATTCTTCCCAAATGCACATAGAACATATTCTAGCCCATAATACATGCCTCAGTACATTCAGAAGGGCTGAATTCACATATGTTCTCTGATCACAATAGAATAAAAAATCAATAAAAGAAGGCAATTTGGCCCAGCCAGTGTGGCTTAGTGGTTGAGCATCAGCATATGAACCAGGTGGTGATGATTAGATTCCCAGACAGGGCACATGCCCAGGTTGTGGACTCAATTCCCAGTGGGGGTGTGCAGGAGGCAACTGATCAATGATTCTCTCTCATCATTAATATCTCAAGGAAGATCTTTTCAACTAATGGTGCTGGAACAATGTAAACCCACATGCAAAAGAATGAATGTGGATCCTAACCTTACATAGAATATAAAAGTTAACTTAAAATGATCAAAGAACAAAATGTAAAGTGGATCAAAGAACAAAATTTTATATTAAAATTATAGAACTCAGAAAAAAACATGGGAGTAAATCTTTGTGACCTTTGGTCAGGCTAAATCTTAGATACAACCCTGAAAGCACAGGTGATGCAAGAAAGAACTGGGCTCAATCAAAATGAACCTTTGTACTGCAAACATTGCCATAAATAAACGAAAAAACAACCCACAAAATGAGATCGAATATCTGTAGGAAAATCATATATATGATAAGGGACTTGAACTCTCAAAAGTCAATAATTAAAAGATAATAACTCGACATTTAAATGGGTGAAGGATGAATAGATATTTCTCCTGAGAAGATATACAAATGGACAATAAGTACATGAAATGATGCTCAACATTATTACCATCAAAACCATAACGAGATGACACTTTGCACCTAATGTGGTTATAAAAAAGCAATGGACATAAGTTCTGGCAGGTTGTGGAGGAGCTGGACCTTTCATACAATGCTGGTGGGAACTTAAAATGGCCCGGTCATTTTGGAAACAGTCTGGCAATTCCTTAAATGATTAAACATAGTTACCACATGACCCAGCAACTCCATTCCTAGGTTTCTACACAAGAGAAATGAACACACGTCCACACAAAAACTTGTACATGAATGTTCATAATACCACTGCTTATAACAGCCCAAACGGGGGAACCTAAATGCTCACAGCTGATGAATGGATAAAACGTGATCCATCCAGACAATGGGATATATTCAGCCATAGAGAGAAGGAAACACTGATCCACGCTACATGGATGCACCTTGAAAACATGCTAAATGAATAAACTACACACAAAATGTCACGTATGATTCCACCTATACAAAATGTCCAGAATGGGCAAATCCATGGAGAAAGTAGATCAGTCGTTTCCTGGGGCTGGGGAGATTGGGGCGCTGGGGCTATGGGGGTGACAGTGCTTCTTCCGGGGGTGATGAAAATGCTGTCAAATTGACTGTGTGATGAATGCACAGCCCTGTAAATACACTAAAAAACACGGTACATTTTAAATGGTGGTTCAAAAGGCATGTAAATTATCTATAATAATAAAAGCGTAATATGCTAATTAGATAGGACATTCTTCCAGATGAAGCCAGGGCTACGAGGGAAGCCCAGGTCCTGGGTGCCAGGGGAAAGCCAGTGCTGGGCAGCAGGGGAAGGCCGGCCTACTCTTGCATGAATTTCATGCACCGGGCCTCTAGTATCTCAATAAAGCTTTTAAAAAGTTAAGTGGAGGGTAGGCAGAAAGGTAAATGGCTAAATGGCTCTATGGTTGTAAAACTCGAAGCACCTACAAGGCTGCTGGCCACAGATGGTCCTGTGACACTTATAATGGCGCCCACAGCCACAGGCGGGAGAACCTCTGGGCCGAACGCCAAAGGGAGAGGGTCTGGTCCACAGGTCGGCCGTGTGATGACTGGGAGCTCCAGCCCGGCCCCACTCACCCAGCGTGGTGCTGATGAGCTTGTCGGGACTGGCCTGAGCCGATGTGGAGCAGAGCGTGTTGAAATACAGCCCAGACCCCTCCCGGATGGGGCTGAGCATGGGGGGTGGCGTGGAGGGAGGGCACTGGAATAACCCCTTCAGGAGGCGGTCCACCAGGAACACCGGGGACCGCAGGCAGCTCTGGTGGCATCTTCCTGGGCCTGGCTCCCCGAAGGTGGAGCGGGGCGGAGGGATGAACAGTGCCTTGGGGTGGGGGCGCTTCTTCCGCTTCCTGTGCAGGCTGCTCTCCCTGCTGTCTCTCTCTTCCACGTCCTTCTCTTGGCCCTGGGGAAGAAGAGAGTTCAGACCCACAGAGGTCACTGAGGCTCCTGCCACACAGCTCAGTCCTCGGGGAAACGTGACAGGCACACCGGCTGCTGTCCATGCCGAGAGCCCTAACAAAGGAGGCTGGGCCGGGCCACCCCCCGGACCCAGACCCACGGCTCTGCCAGTGACGTGCAAGGCTGGAGCCTCTCACGCACTCCAAGGAGAGGCCCTGACTCAGAGGCTTTGGAAACGTGGAGGCCAGTTTCAATGGTTAACACGCCTGGCACTTAGACAGTGGGGGCCAGAGACACAGAGTGACTGTGACAAAACGAAAATGTATTCCCCTCCAAGTGACCACCGCGCCTGTGAGATGCACAAGGGGACCCAGGCTCCCTGTCCCCACGTCCAGCTTATGCTGTTCCAGGCAGGACCCTCTAGTACAGGGGTGGGCAAACTTTTTAACTCGAGGGCCACAATGGGTTCTTAAACTGGACCGGAGGGCCAGAACAAAAGCATGGATGGAGTGTTTGTGTGAACTAATATAAATTCAAAGTAAACATCATTACATAAAAGGGTACGGTCTTTTTTTTTTTAGTTTTATTCATTTCAAACGGGCTGGATCCGGCCCGCGGGCCGTAGTTTGCCCACGGCTGCTCTAGTAACAGGCTGAAAGCCCTACTGCCTGAACTTACCATGTCTTCTCACCTCCACACAATCTCCCTTCCCCTCTGCCAGTCTTACTCCTTCTTATCCTCCAGGTCTCAGCTCCCACACCGCCACCTCCAGGAAGTCCTCCCTGACCTCCTCAGGCTGGCCCTCTGGTGCCCTCTCAGGGCTCCCACAGCTCCCTCCCCCAGCCTGCCCTGCCCACTCTGGGTCATCACTGTCTGGGGGTGGGTCTATCTACTGCACTGAACTGGGAGCCCCAGCAGGCAGGGCAGAGGCCTTCACGGTCACCACGGTGTCCCCGGCACAGGGCCCGGCACAGAGGAGGCTCAGCGGGTGCCGAATGAGTGAATGAACACGCAAACCAAGCTCTTCTGGAGTCAGGATTGCCTGTGGCGTTTGGGCCAGCAGGTCGGGAGGGAGAGCAGCCGGAAGGACGTGGACTGACCAGCACCCACCTTGGCCGTGCTCCCCAGGACTCGGTGTGTGGGAGCCGCAGGCACCGACATGGGGGGCTCCAAAGGGGCCGTGTCGTCCAAGGACTTCTTGGCTCTGGGGGGGCTCTGCCCGTCCCCCTCTGGCCTCAGCACCTGTCTCGTGGGCTTGCAGAACTCGGTGCCAAACACCTAGAGCAGAGGAGACGGCTCTTTAGGAGAAACAGCGAGTGGGGGGCGGAATAGCTGCTCCAGCCTGCAGTTCCGACTCCTGGGCCCTCCCCAGGCTTCCCCAGACGATGGAGGACATCTCCATCCTGAGATAAATGGCCCCCCGTCCTTTCCTCCCCCAAGCCTGTCAGCACCCCTGAACGCACAGACTCTACGGCGTGTGCCCTGCACCTGCTGCTCCTGCTTCCCGCGCGGCGACGGCCACTGGTCGCTGTGAAAGCACATGTGGCTGCCCAGCCCTTTCTCGGTGTAGAACATCTGGCTGCAGTTCTTGCAGACGTACGTGCTCCTCGGCTCCGCCCAGTCTGCTGGGCCCCCGTTTTGCTGGCTGCTGCGGGAGACATGCAGGAGGGAAGGACGCGAGGATGGGACTCTGTCCCTGGTCACTGGCTCCAGCTTTCTTTTCTTTTAAAAGTCTCGTCCACTGACAACTCTAGATGCCCATTCAGAAACAGAGATGACACCCCAATTCTTCAGGGCCTGGAGCACTGCAGTCAGGACTGACACATCCAGAGCTCGCTTACCCAGGGCCAGCACATGGAAGAGAAGGGGTCGAGCTCCCCCAGATGTGGGGGGAGGGACTTCTAAACTTACCATCCACCTGCCATGTTCTCCTCCTTCATCAGGTGGGGGAGCCGGTAGATATTTCCACCCTGAAGATAAAAATACACCCGAGCCAACATATCAGAAATGAGGTTTGCAAGAGCTAAAACTCTAAGACGCCTAGAAGAAAAAGAACTACAAGTGTAGTTCTTTGCGACCTTGAATTGGGCAATGGTCTCTTGGATGACACCAAAACAGAAGCCGGAACAGACAGCCATGTGGGCTGGCTCAGTTGGTTAGAGCAGTGTCCTGATACACCAAGGTTTTGGGTTCGATCCCTTGTCAGGGCACATACAAGAAACAATCAATGAACGCATAAATAAATGGAAGGGTCACTGGTTTGATTCCCGGTCAGGGGACATACCCAGGTTGCAGGTTTGATCCTGGTCAGGAGGCAGCTGATTAATGCTTCTCTCTATATATATCTCTCTCCCTCTCCCTTTCTCTCTAAAAAATCAATAAAAACATATGTTTTTAAAAGTGTATAAAAAAAAGAAAGTGAGCCCAGCTGTTGTGGCTCAGTGGTTGAGTGTCAACCCATGCACCCAGAGGTCACTGGTTCAATTCCTGGTCAGGGCACATGCCTGGGTCACAGGCTCGATCACCAGCAGGGGGCGTGCAGGAGGCAGCCGGTCAATGTTGATGTTTCCCCTCTCATCGATGTTTCTATCTCTGTCCCTCTCCCTTCCTTTGTCTCTAAGAATCAATAAAAACATATTTAAAAAAAGAAAGAAAAGAAAGTGAAAAGAAAACTCATAGAATGGGAGAAAATTGTTGAAAGTCATATATGTCTGATAAGGACTTGCATTCATAATACGTAACTTTTATAGCTCAATAATAAAAAGTCAAATAGCCCAATTTAAAAATGGCCAAAGACCTGGCTGAGTGGCTCAGTTGGCTGGAGCAGTGTACACCAAAAGGTCGCAGGTTCGATTCCTGATCAGGGAACACACCTAGGTTTCGAGTTCAATCCCTGGTCAGGGAGCATACGGGTGACAACCAATCAATGTTTCTCACTCAATCAATGTTTCTCACTCACATCAATGTTTCTCTCTCTCTCCCCGCTTCCTTTAAAAATCAATAAAAAAATAAAAATGGACAAAGAATCTGAATAAACACTGAACCAAAAGAAATCTGCGAATGCCAATAAGCACATAGGGTAGAGAGATGCTCAACACTGTTAGGCATCAGAGCAACGCAAATGAAACCTTGAGGAGAGCTCCGCAGAGAGCCGAGGAAGGCTATGACAACAGGACAATGAGCTAGCGGGGACCTGGAGAAATTGGAGCCCTCGATGGCTTGTGGGTGGGGATGTAAACTGATGCAGCTGCTTTGGAAAACTGTCGGGCAGTTCCTCACATGGTCAAACACAGGGTTACCATCTGACCCGGCAATTCCACTCCTCGGTATTTCCCCAGTGAAATGAAAACAGATGCCTGCACGAAACATGGACAGCCATGTCCACCGCAGCGCTATTCACAGTGACCAAGAAGGGCCAGCCGATGAACGGGTGAACAGAATGCGAGGTGCCCGCACGAAGGAGTGTTCCTCAGCCCTGGAAATGGAGCACTGGCACGGGCTGCAGCGTGGACCAACTTGGAAACACTACGCTGAGTGGAAGCTGCGGTCACAGAGGGCCACGTGGTGTACGACCCAATGACATGAAATGTCCAGAGCAGGCAAATCCAGAGAGAGAGAGAGAGAAGGTAGATTCCTGGCTGCCGGGGGCTTGGCGGGATGGAGAGATTGGGGGTGACAACGAAGTGGGGGTTTCTCTGGGGCCGAAATGTTCTGGCAGAGTGGTGATGGGTGCTGAGCCCTGCGGTTAGAGCAGCCGTGGGCAAACTATGGCCCGCGGGCCGGATCCGGCCCGTTTGAAATGAATAAAACTATTGAAAAAAAAGACCGTACCCTTTTATGTAATGATGTTTACTTTGAATTTATATTAGTTCACACAAACACTCCATCCATGCTTTTGTTCCGGCCCTCCGGTCCAGTTTAAGAGCCCATTGTGGCCCTCGAGTCAAAAAGTTTGCCCACCCCTGGGTTAGACTAACCCCGTGGTACCTGGATTCTGTTGAATATGGTCAGCTTGGACTTGGAGTCCCGGGGGGCGTCCGCCGGAGGCCCAGCCGAGGAGAAGGAGGCCATGGCCACCTGGCTGGGAGAAGCGGCGCAGCACATGTCCATTTTCACCTTCTCCTTCCGGAAGCCTGAGAAGCGCTGGGCCCTGGGGTGGCCGGAGAAGAGCCTGTAGCCTCCGCCCCGGGTGCAGGCCGAGCCCTTTTCACCTTTGGTGGCTCCTGATGCCGCACCGTTCTCAGCCTGGGTCTGCTTCCCGGGGCCCGGGGCTCCAGGCGGCTGGTCCCCCCCTGCCTGGCTCTGTGGGCCGCCGGGGGAGAACACGTCCCCCAGGTCCAGAGTCCCTTTTGCAGATCTCAGCTGCTTGGCCAGAGAGATGTCTGGGTTGTCAGGAGGGTCCAGAGACGATGCTGTGAGGGACGGTGGGGCGGTGGTCACCTTTGGTCCTCCCTTCGAGTCCCATTTCGTGCTGCCAGGAGAGGCTGCTCTGGGGAGAGCGGGTGCGGTTTTTCTCCTCTGGACTGGGGATCCCTCAGGCTCCGGGTTCCCAGGGCAAGCATGGAGAGAGTCAGCACTGGGCGTCAGTGGCAGGGGCTGCTGCGACCACGGCCCCGACTTCAGGGTGGCCTGCTTGCCCTCGGGGGCCGGCAGCTGGGAGGACGCGGCTGCCACCTGGGCGTGGGAGAAGAGCCGCTGGGACTTGGTGATCATCTGGAACACCTGCATCTGCTCGT